GATACTCAATTTTTATTAGTTGTTTTCTAATTTATGATAAGTATCTTATTTACTGTCAAATTTGTTTAAGATTAACGTTGATATTTTAGTTATAATTATATAAAAGGCATGTTTTTATTCATGGTTAATGGACAATCTTAAAGATTGTAATTATTATGACTACTATAAAATTAGCAAGTTGCTTCTTAGTCTTCTGTTCAAATAGTAATTATGTATTGGTTAAATGAAATTCTTAATTACGATGCTAATAAAGGTTGCAAAGTCAAGTGGTTTATTAAATACAGGGCAGACTTTTGTTTGTTATTAACGGGGATATATCACTTTGTCTGTGAAGTCATAAAATATTCGTTTGCTATAGAAATGATAATTGTTTTAAACCTATTATTAGTTTCGAATAATACGTAAAAAAATAATTGGTTTATGGAGGAGTTAATGGTCAATAATTATTATTGAAAATAACATTTAAAAGTTAATAATAGACAACGATAATCATATACCCTACAAGTGAAGTTACTAAAGAAAATAACATAAACATACATATATTCAATTCAAAAGTTTTGCATAATTTGATGGAAAATTCTTTACTAAATTCCTTCTATTCTTTTTAAAAGAAAACCATGTACTATAGTTTAAAGAATCTGTCACTTTCCTAAAGAAACTTTTTTTTTATCTTGGGGTAATGTTATAGTACGCTGTTAGACTTATACCAAAAGAAACTATTTGCGATGATTAATTGTTAAACTTTTTATTATAAACAAAATTATTTGGTTTGTTGCAGAATTGGTAAATTAAATATTGATTTAAAATTTAACAAAAAACGTGATTTATTAATAATATTTGCTCCGGAGTTAATATTGTTTAAAATAATCGTAGTTTAAAAAGTATTGACCTAATTTTGCAAATTGTTTGAACGAGGTTGCTATATGATTTAGCAAAAATAGTTTTTTTTTTTTTTTTGCAAAAAAAAAACAAGAAAAATGAAATAAAATTAAAATTTATTTCTTTTCTGTGGTGAGGGCGAATTATAAATAATTTTTACAATTTGAAAATATTTATGTATATAATAGGCCTATTATATGCTTTATATTATCCTACGGCTAAGGTATTTTGTTGTGGTGTCTTTGTTAATTGAGTTACAAATTATATAGTTTTGTTATTGACTGATAATTATACATTCGCTAATTTTGGGTTAAATAGTCACTTTGTCGGCTTATAAAAACAAATTAAAAATTTTACGAGAGACGTATTGAAATTATTTATTGAAGAGATAACGTTCAAAACATTTGTCATAGTTATGACAAATTGGAAGAAAATGAAGATGGGCTTATTTAATCCAATGATCCTATTAATAAATAATCTTATTGTTTCGATAAATGTTAAAGTTTTCAAATCGTAACTTTTTTCTAAATATATTTTAAGTCTAAATGTTAAATAGAAACAATAAATATAGCTTCAAAATGGTTAATCTGGCAACACTAATCACCACCTAAATATATTTCCAGTTTTGTATAGGATTAAAGTAATCATTCTTAATGCACCAATGCTGATGGAAAAGTATAGTATACGATTTTAAGTTGCAGATTATAAAATAATTAACATATGTAATAGTAAATAACAAATAAACCATTGAAAAAAATATTAAAAAATGTTTAAAATCTTTTGCCTTTTAATCACATCCGTCAATCATAAATTTTGTTGCATGTTTGACACCTGTCGCGCACTCATTACACTACATTTCATATATCTGAAAATAATTCCAACATATAATAAACTATTGAATATTATGCCTAATGTCTAACTAAGCAACAACAATTGAATCATACAAACAACAACTGACCTTAACCATCAAAAAACAACATGACATATTCCACAAGAAAACAAATCCAAAAATTAACAATAATTAACAAAACACTAGCAGATCACCCAGACAACACATACAAACAAAGAAACCTAAAAGAAGATACCTGGAAATCTACCTGCAAAATAGTACAAACTCATTTAACATTATATGAACATCAGTAGGGTCATATTTTGTACAAACGATGTATTATTGGAAGGCGATAATACTTAATGGTTTGAAATGCTACAAACATGAAAACTACAATGAGCCTAATCATAATTTTTAACAAACACCACAACAACAGCGACAACTAAAACAAAAATAAGATTTCATACTCAATGGGTTAACAAGAAACTAAAAAAGGTCATGTAATGATCTACATACTCGCTCACACGCACATACAGCATCATTACAAGATGCTAAAAGAAACAAAAATAAACAATAATGCATGTTGAGATGATTTTTCAATTCAGAAGATTAATGATGTTTCTCGTCTAATGTTGACCGTATGTAAAGGGAATTATGTATAAGAAAATGTTAGACGAAGAGAAAGAATTAATGTAGAGACGGAAAGTAAAAAAAGAAACAAAATTTAATTTAGTGAGCAAGTGAAAGATTTAATGAAGATAATGGAATATTATTAATTTTAGAAAAATAGGCTGTAGTTTAAACAATTTCCGACTATAAGACACTCTATATGTTTATACCTTACACCACTTAAGTGGCGAGGGTATATTAAGTTTGTATCTCACTATAATATTGGTCATAAATCCACGTTTAAGTATACTAAACGACTTATCAGCATTTTCTGAGTCGATTTATTTATGACCATCAGTCTATATATACTTCCTTCTGCCCGTTCGTCTGATCGTCAAATTTTGTAATCAGACTACAGGTCGTAATTTTGAAGATAATGCAATTAAATTTGGTAGATGATATTCTATTGGCCCAGAAACGAAGCCTATTGAAAATGGTTAACATCGGTTAATTTTTTCACCTAGTCCGCATACAACTGAACCCCCCAGAATAGATCTTTTGAGCTCATATTTATGTTTAATATACTCGTAACTCTTCAAAAGCGGCACAACTAAGTTTTGTACTAACTTTGATGCCTCTGTCGAATTTTGTAATGGTCGTGCCTCATTTGACTCTGGCCCCTTCATTTTATTCTCATAACTGCAGTAGAGTATTATTTGTCGGCCTAGCCCGACTATAATTTCTTACTTGTTTTTCATACCAAGTTTATTCAATGAAAACTTTGCACCACTACAGTGGTATTTTGATATCAGTGTTGCAGTGCCTGTCCGACTGACACAAATATTCAGCTCTATCACTCGCATCTCATTATAAAACTATAAAGCCCTTAAAGGAAATTGTATAAACTTTCTTCTGAGCAAAAAATGGGATTTTTTTGAAAATAAAAAAATTAAAAAAAAAGTCCGGTAGTTCTTGACCGAGAGAGCTTAAAATTTGTGTCTGGTCTACTATCCAATAGTACTAAGTACTAGTACAAAGTAGTACTTGGTTCAAATTTCATCCAAATCGGTAGACATCGATTTTAAAAGTTGGGTCACTTGACAAGAAATTGTCCTTATGTGAAACACCCCACATTGTCCCACTGGGTGAAGGAATAAAGAAACTAAAGACTTTTTTGATATTATTATCCTTATATTAAAACTATACTATTTTATATAAAATATAGTCAATTAACAATATATTGGCATTAATTGGAGACTAAACTTATTACAAGTTCCGTTGAGTACGTTGTTGAAAAAATCTTAAAAAATTTGAATTTGATCCTCGATAAAATGGTAAAATTTTTTAAACATATGAAAAGTGGGAAAGTGATGTCAAGAGACCCAACTTTTGAAACCGATGTCTTCCGATCGGGATCGATCAAAAACTTGTTGGGTTACAGTGGGTTAAAGTTTGACATTTTTACAGAAAATATTTTTCTACACATTTATGTAACTTATTACCTCTTGTTTGCAGAAAAAAAAATTCCAAATAGTTTAGAGTTGTTTCATTAATTGTTTGAAAAATTATTAAATAAAGAAAATTTGGACTTTTTTATAAAATTAAAATTTTTGACTCTTTTTCCAAAATGTTCCCGTTTTATTTTTTCTCAAAAGAAAGCTTAGGTCTTTTCCTTTAAGTCGCGGGATATATACCAAAATAAAAGACACATTTTTAGCACTTACTATTAGAAAAAAATTCCAAACAATTTTTAACGAAATCCCCCATATAGATAATGGACACATCTAAATCGTCGCAGAATTTTATATGGTTCAAGAATATTTAAACTTTGTTAGGACTCAGATTAAAATTGGTATATTTTCAATGAGGAGAAACTAAATATTGTCTGCTTATGACAGACATCTACAAATTATTATCTGCTTATGACCGACATCTACAAATTATTATTTAGGGAATTTTGAAATTTCGTGTAAATGGAAATTTTAAGTAGATGTATTTATTTTTTTTTTTTTGCAAATAGTGTAAATATCTTTACTAAAACCGCAAAAAACCAACCAAAATGTATAACTTTATGACTTTTTTCACACTTTCATCTGCTTTAGGCTTCAGTCATTAAATCAATAAACTAAAAAAGATAATTAAAATATATACACAGTAAAATCACGATATCGTTAACATAAATATGTTAATATGTTTAAACATTTTTTAATATTTTAAAACGTGTAAGTCTTACCATCTCTGTTTATTTTCATACTTCCCTTTAAAACAATGCACTTCAGGCATCCTCTCCCACTGGGATGATCTACAATGAAATATAAAATTCAATTAAAATTTGTTGCAGTTTTTGTAGCAATAAAGAAAGAAAAAATAATGATTTTTATCAACTGAAGGCCCCTTCGCATTCAAAATAAATGAAAAAAACATAAGATAATGGTAATTAAAATTATGTTTTAAACAAAATACACAACATCACGTATTTAAAATTGCAACAGAGCAAAACATAAAGGCAACATAAAATGTTTAAAACAATTATAAAGAAACAAATTGAAAAAAAAAAGACAAACGATCGTCTCCAACTATTTAACACTAATGATAATGGTTTAGTTTGTTGGCTTGTTAAATTAATGATCGTTTAATAAATTTCTAGAGCAACTATAAATACTTTTAACATTTAACTAGTCAAACATATTCCAAACACAACTGTTCAACGAACATCAACTCATTTAACTAAACTCCTTATTCTATAATAAACTCAAATTAAGCAAGAACATGCGTGGTTTAATTGTAAGTGGTGACATTAACAATAAAAGTTGCAATTCGGAAAACATTTGTAAAGGATTAATTATTAATTTTTGTAATTTATAGATTTTGTGTTTTGCTGCTTTGGCTGTAGCTGCTCCTCAAGGCTATAACTATCCTAGCCAGCCAAGTAATCAATACTTGGCTCCTGGTGCTGGCTTTGATGGCCATGGTGCCCAGGGTTACCAACAACAGGCCTTGGTGTCCAAACGTTTCTTCATACACTCAGCCCCTGAAGATGAAGAAGTCGAAATCCAACAAAAGGATATTGTCATCGGCCAACCCCGTAAGAATTTCAATGTTGTCTTCATTAAATCACCTGCCGCTGCTGCTCAAAAAACCAAAATCCGTGTCATTCCCGCCGTTAACGAAGATAAGACTGTCATTTATGTTTTGGCTAAGAAAGCTGGTGAAAACGAAATTATCACTCATGTTGAAGAACCCCATACCACCACTGCCAAACCTGAAGTATTCTTCATTAAATACAAGACCAACGAAGAAGCTGAACATGCCCAACAAACAATTCAAGCTGAATACGATCGCTTGGGTGGTTCTACTGTCATTTCCAATGAAGGTATTGCTCCAGTCTCATCGGTTATCGGTTCATTAGATGGTCATGGTGCCAATGTAGGTGCTGGTGTAGATGCTGGCGCTGGTTCTGCTGGTCATGGTGCTGCAAACACAGCTTATTTGCCACCCGTGAAGAAACACTAGAAAGGAGTTTATTTAGAAAGTAGTTTGACCTTCGGTCATTTGAACTGATGTGTGATAGACTTTTTTGTTGCCACAGAATTGTTATTTAGATTTTATGTAATAAATGTTTGTGTAAATTTGTTAATTTTTAAAGAGTGTTTGCATTGTCGAAAAAAAATCTCATTTGAATAGCCATGGAAGACTCTAAAGTATAAGCTCTAGGTACTATCATTCTCATTTGATTATAGGTCCCATAAAAAGTTTAATATTAGAAAAACACTTAAACGTCCACATTTTAGGTAGATCGGTCAATATTTGACCCTAGTCGCCATATAATACTTGTTTTTTGATAGAATATAAATAGCTAAACATATACATACATCGGCTGTGTTCGATTGCACTTTACTACTCCTGTGACATACGATATTCAAATATGTTCACATAAAATAATCAATAATAGACCAATCCTTATAAAACTTGTTTTTAAAACAGTTATGACTGTTAAAACTGTTTCAACTCTCTAGCTCTTTCCTTTCGGACCCTATCGTGTTTTCGGAGAGGTTAGATAGTACATAAATAATTAGGAAATAAATATATTGGAATCAAATTCTACATAAAGATGTTTTGGGTATATATCACTTTGCAAAATATTTTCCGGATCGATCCGTAATTGGTCATAGCTCCCATATTAGACCCACTTCCGATAATCATGTAAACGGACATATTTCATAACTGAATAAAGATATTATGAATGTGTTTAAAGTGTATATAATCCACCTTGCGATATATTATCTGTATCGGTCCATAATTAGTCACACCTTTACTACCGGAAATTACTTAAACGCTCATATTTTATTGATAAAGATAGTTATGTTTTGTGTATAGATAAATCATTCTGCAAAATTGTGTACGGCCATTTTTGTATTGGCCCTTAATTAGTCACATCTCCCATGAAAGGTCATCATTCAACGGGAATATATTTGGTATATACATATAAATAGATCGTTCCATAAACATTCACAATTTATTAAATATCTAAAAATATTTAGATGGATTTTTGTAAAAATTAGCTTAGAGGTGGATGATATTTAAGATTTTTAGATGGATTTTCGTAAAAATTAGCTTACAGGTGGATGATATTTAAGATACGGCATTGATTGATAGATTTATTAAGGGGGCACCAAGCACTACGACCCAAGTTAAGATCTTTTGTGCAGAACTTTTGATTCATCATTGGAGATTAAGTTCACTTATGAGTGTTAATGTTGTAGACAGTGAGAGATTGAATATTTCTATAGGCGAAAGAAAAACGCCTCCCAGAATACTCACTCTGAGAGTCCACAATGGCTGACGGTTACATCATGCATTTCGCAGAATCTGCATAACCTCGTCACATTGTTACCAAGAATGTGCTGGTGGTATCTAAGTCCACAGTGTCCAGTACAAAGTCCCGTTAGTAATTTTAGGCCATTCTTGTTAAGTGACAGCAACATTTGGAATTTGACTTTCATTAGCATTATGAAGCCCTTTGCCTGTCTGAGTCCTGATATTGACTCCCAGTGGTAAAGAAATTCAGACTCAACATATGAATCACATTTTTCCCTAATGTTTCCTTTGGGGACCACAAGGAATGGTTATTCTCCGAAATTTTTTCAGATCGTTCCATAAACATTCTCAATTTATAAAATATCTAAACATTTTTTGATGGGTTTTTGTAAAAATTAGCTTACAGGTGGATGGTATTTAAGATACAGCATAGCCGAATATACATATGGGAAATTTCATGGCAAGTGACTCAACTCAAAGAAACAATTTTGACTAAATTTGCACTAAGGTTGGTACTATTGGATAGTAAGTCAGACACACATTTTCAGCTCTATCGGTCAAGAACTGCCGGACTTAGAGGGGGGTCAAAGTTGGACATTTTGGTCATACAGGGTTTTATTCCAATGAGTGTAACGTTTCACCTATTAGTCCTAGCAAAAATTGTCCAAAGGAGTTCAGATAGCTATTACTTCATTCTTTCCATTTTTTTTTTTTTTTTTAAAACCCTGTATGTCCAAAATTTCCAGTTCTTGACCGACAGAGCTGAAAATTTGTGTCTGGCCCACTATCTCATAGTACCAACCTTGGTGTAAATTTCATCCAAATCGGAAGATATCGATTTTTAAAGTTGGGTCATTTGACACGAAATTCCCCATATGTAATACTCTAGTTTGGTTCACTTTAGTATTACCCTAAAACTTGCAAATGTATAGCCAAATAAATTGTTAATTATATAAATGAAAAGGGTTGGTCCTCTGTCATAAAAGCATATTCAAGAAAAAAGTAAAGCAAATCATGGTGAATTAAATATTTAAGTACACCCAGTTTTTTTTTTTCAATATGGTAATTAACAAGTCTCCCAGTTTTTAAAACTTCTCTTATCATTAATCTACTATTTGGTATACAAATTCTCGTTTATTTAAATGTCTTAATAAACCATGAATTAATTGATGGTTAACAACATGTCTACGATTTGTGTCAAAGTTATTTAAGTTAATTTTATTGGAATTTCTAATAATTTGTTTCTTTGAATATGAAGTGTAGAAGATAAAAAATCAACGCTCAAATTAATTACATTAACTCTTAAGCGTATAAATGAAATTGAACTCTGATCATGGTTGATATTGGATTTCTTAAATCAGATAAACAATAACGCCAAAATGTTAGCAGTGTGAAAGTGGTTATTACATTTGACAGTTGAAGAAAATTTTTTTTTACAGTAGCAAACTTGATTGATGTTTAAATTATGCAAATTTATGGATAAAAGAAGCTAATCTTTATTTTATTTTTATAGTTTTGATGTTTATGTATTTATGTGAATTTGATGAAATAACTGATATTAAGATAAAATGTGGTGATTTAAAATAATTGGCATAATATAATTAATATCAAAATACTTTTAATAATTTAAAATAAAAAATTATTTAATGTTGTCAAATTTAACTTCAAATAAATATTTCTAAGAAATAATTATGTTCCTTTGTTTAAACTTATATTCTTGTTAAAATGTCGTTTATTTTATTTAAAAATAAAATAAATTATCTTAGATTTTTTTTATCTCTCTTTATTATCAATCCTATACTTTAACTGTTATGTATGTCGGGATTTTATTTGAAAATTAAAAAAAAAAAAAAAAAACTGAAGTGTCTACCTTGCCGTAGGTGTTCAAATTATTTGGTCACGCAATGATGACGTTTTTTCTTAAAACTGCTACTGGGTTTATTTTTGAATATATAGTTTCTGTCTAAACAATTTTCAGCAAAAAAATCTCACACGATGATAATGATGATGTGAATATTTGTTTTTTGGGTGTTTTCATCTATAATTAATTGACATAACAAATTTATTACAAAATTTGTGATTTATTATATGAATTTGACTTAAAAGAAATGTTAATCTTCAAATGATGATAATGTGTGTACTTTTATTTCCTCTTACAAATTTTTTTTTATTAATAATAAAGTAATTTTTACAGAAAACTTTGAAATTGTGAGAAAGTGTAGTTGTCGATAAGTTTTATTTTTAATTATAGTTTAGCAAGGTATACGCTTTTTGTTGTGTTTCAGACCCTGCATGTACAATTTTCTATATTATGTTAAATAAATTTAAAATTTTGAGATTTCATCGAAATTAATTTGTATTTCTTTCTCTTGTTAAATAACTTATAACTCATACGTCATGTTGTACAGAATGAATAATCGAGTTAAGTATAATATCTACATAAAAATGTCAAATTCTATCACTGAGGTACAGTTAAAACATAAAAAGAACTTTAATCCGTGATTGTATTAATGCCAGTATAATTAACCAACTACTTACTTTTAAAATTTACCGTAGCTTTTTATAATTTTAAACCAAAAATATTTTGGTCACAGCGACAGCGTTTGTTGTTTTCAAAAAAAAAAAAAGAAAATGTTCTTATTGTTTTATGAAAATTTTAATATTTTTTTGTTCCATAACTGATTATGGGGATATATTCAAAATCATCTATTTCAAAAAACACAAAAAAATTTTTTCTTCTTCAATACTTTTTAAGGCAAGATATAAATCCTTCATATTAATTACACAGTCCAATGATGAAAAAACTTTTTAAATAATTTTCACTAATCCCAGTGTTATTTGGTATGCTGATTCCGAATATGGAAATAAAAAAGTTGTATCACCCACCAGTTTACCACATTTTCATCTTTTATTCCCTCTGGCTGTATTCTTGAGTCCCTGCCTTTCGTTTCTGCCTTTAGACATATACTTAATGTTATAGAATGATTTTGCGTGATAGGACCCCGTTAACTGGCTCTGAAGGGGAAAACGATTTTTACTAAAATTTTGGCACTAAATTTATGTTTTTGGATTTAGCAGCAAATAGTTGAAATATATATTCAATTATCGTTCCAATAAAATACAAAACACAAAAATTGGTCAAAAATTGTAAAAGTTATTACAAATTTCTCCAATCATTTAGTGTCACAAAACGCTTAATTGAGAAATATTAATAAAAAAAAACAACTTTCGGCTACCATAGTGTTAAATTTAAGATTTTTTTTTTTAATTTTTCCAAAAAATCGCATTTTGATCATGACAAAGGAAAAAATTAAAAAAAAAAAAAAAACAAATACTAAACGTTATTGTTGTTATTTCTAGCGATTTATTTAAACAAGCAAATACAATGTACTCACAAACCAGCACAATCTGAACGTTGCTGTTGTTTCATACGTCTGCATAAAAAATACTATTTTTTGACGAAATTTTCAGAGGTTGTTTCAGATTTTTGCTCATATGTCTGAAATTTATAAACCAATTTTTCTGATTTTAAATAGGAGACTTCTCAAAAGCATGTTAGATAGAATTATTGAAGACTGAGATCCCAAAGATATCTGAGGTCTTCAGAGATTTAAATTCAATACACAGACAGACGGACAGTCAGACAGACAGACAGACAGACAGACAGACAGACAGACGGGCATGGTTTAATCATATCCAGAATGTATATACTTTATAGGTCATAATCTAATGTTTATTGTCTTTTTTTCGAAAATTGCATTATAATAAATAACTTAATTATAACCCCTAATGACTAATGAGGTTCGTATATTATAACCC